GTGATCTACTGACCGGGCTTTTGATTGATATTTTGTGTAATGGTGGGATTCGAAATGGGATCCTCTGAGCTACTGAAAGGGGCTTGCTCCCTAACTTGGGCTCTCATTTGGGCCAGTGCTATTTGGCTTAGGGATTACCGGTCCTGGACAGCTTTGCACCTTACAGCTGTTGGGCTTCACGCTTAGCTCAAGCCCTTTACACCTTCAGCTCTTTCTTAAATTAACTCAGGCAGTAGTATAATTTTTGACTCTTTAATTGTTCAAATAGTCAAACTTCTTAAGTTAAAGGAGGTGCGCCATATTAGGCAACGCAAATAGTTGTGGCCTTCCGAATTTAGTACCCTTTAAAATAATATTGGGGTGCGCCATGCCAAACAAAAAATGACAATTGCATGGCCCTCATTTTAATTAATTTTCTTTTAAATCCTTAGAATTTGAGGCGTGCCATTTAGCAAATTTCCATGGCCCCTCGCAAAATTACAAACGCGTAGTTGCTTTAGGCGCGTTATTTTAATAATATTACCTTCCTAAACTCGGGTAGGCATTTCATGTGACCCAAATCCAAATCTTAACAACATTGAATAGAACGTGTTTCGGATTGTGGGTGCATTTCATGTAACGCGGTCCAAAGACATGTTTTAGACGACGTTAAATTTTCTTTAAAATGAATAAAACGGTTTAAAAGTTAAAATGCACATAGTTTCAAAATGTTTTAAAATCAGATAATAGGCCAATAATAACAGTTGAGCGACCGTGCTAGAACCACGGAACTCGGGAATGCCTAACACCTTCTCCCGGGTTAACAGAATTCCTTACCCGGATTGCTGGTTCGCGACTGTTAAATAGAGTCAAACCTTTTCTTCGATTCGGGATTCAAACCGGTGACTTGGGACACCATAAATCTCCCAAGTGGCGACTCTGAATATCTTAATAAATGAATCCCGTTTCGATTGTCCTTTAAGTGGAAGAACTCCTTGTATTATACCCTTCACGGGGTGTAGTAAAAAAAGGAGGTGAGACAGCTCTGGCGACTCTGCTGGGGAAACGAACCCAGAATTTCGGTTCAGGGTTCAAGAATTCGAGCTAGTTAAATTGTTATATTTGGCGTTATCTGATTTTGGTACATGTTTTGGCTTAATGTGCTAAATGTTTTACCGCTTTGATATTTGTTGAAATTGTATATAGAAACTGTCGCGAATCCCTTCCTCTTTCTGAGTCTTCTACATCATAGAGAAGGGTGCACTTCGTGTAGCTTCTCTTCTGTTTAGAGTCTTTTCCCATTTAGAACGAGGTTTGGATAAGTTGCAAAGCCGGCGGAGCTTCTGTATCCCCGGTACGCTGCCTCCCCCTCGGCTCGAGTTGTCCGCTCGGGTAAGCCAGGTCTAGACCAATAAACCTAGGGTTTAAACCTAGAAGAACAAAACCTCATGCCGGATCCCCAGTAGGAACGTTTGTTTGCATCATGTGCATTTGACTTAGGGGACTCAACACAGGGGTTGGGTCCGTCTAGGACAGGTGACCTGAAATGAAAAGACCATCCTGATGCATCTTACGTGCTACTTGTGCATTCATCTGCTTGGGATTTGCATGTTGACCGGCTTGTATATAATGAGAGAAAATTGAGAAAAATAAGCAGTGTTAGGACTAAGTGAGGGTGACCATTTGTTGTGAAAAACCAAGTGCCCAAATAGTACCGAAATGCTGCCGGATTTTTGAAAAATGGAAAAGAAAAATATTGGAAAAATAGAAAGGAAATTGTTGTTCAAAATAGTTTTGATTTTGGCAAATCTCCCGAACTACGCCGGTTTGATTCTCACCGGATGTGAGATACGTAGGCAACCCTCATCGGGTCCAACCTCCCTTTTTGCAAAAATAGCCAAAAAATGTCAAAATTTTAATTTTCGTCATAAATAAGTCGGGTGATGCCATTCTTGTCTAAAATAAGCCGAATGTCCCTAAAAGGACGGCGGAAGGCCATTTTTGCAAGAACAGCCACCCTAAGTCATTTTTACATGGTTTGCGGGCACATCCTTAAAATCTTCCTCCCAGAAGTGCTGAAAGGCTGTATTTGCAAATCCAAGTCCTGTTTTCTAAATAAAGAATTTTTGCACAAATAGCCATTTTTCAAAATAAATCATTAAAGTTCCCTAATAAATGTGCAGGATGAATTCGAGTAACATCGAAACCTTCTCAGTCCTGAGCGAGATCCCTTTGAAACTCCATATGTGGTGGCATGATTTGGGAAAAGGAAGCAGAGATACCATGGTCAAAAGTTTGGGCGGTCTCGTAGATTTATTGAACATCAAACCAAGGAAGGATATCATTGAGGCACTAATACCATTTTTGGGATCTGACCCGTAATGTATTCCGATTTTCAGATTGTGAACTCACACCTACATTAGAAGAGATTGCCGGATACGCCGGTCTCAACGGGAACCTCCGAGGTAGATACCCATTGGCCCCACGACCGGTAACCCTTCATAGGTTCTTGGATTTGTTGAACATCAGCCGGGATATTCAAGACCCGTATCTGGCGGAAGGGTGTTGTACATTGGATTTCTTATATCACCGGTATGGTAACCCCAAAGGTTTCGAGGAACCCAACACAGGATTGACACATGCTGGAAATAAAGACAAATGGGAAGCCCGACGAGGATTAGCCTTCATGGTAGCCTTTTTGGGAGTAGTAATTTGTCCAATAAAAGATGGTCACATAGACCTTGGCCTGGTAGGGATGCTAGATGTTGCCATGAAAAAACCTAACAGCATAGTGGCTCCCCTGATTGTAGCAGAAATGTACCGAGCTTTGACCAAATGTCGAGAAGGGGAAAAATTCTTTCAAGGTTGCAATTTGCTCTTACAATTGTGGATACAGGAACACCTCTGTCACCGCACAGGCTATATGAACTACGGTTTAACTGGATAAGGTTATTGCAGAATTCGAGACCCGGGTGACAGGTATTGAGTTCCCTGAGGGTACTGAGGCCTGGTCGTCATGCTTAAGATCCTTGACCGCAGATAAAGTTGAATGGGCTTATGGATGGCTTCCTGCTACTGAAGCTGTATACACATCAGCAGAGGTTTCTTATATTCTTTTGATGGGTATTCGAAGCATACAGCCTTATGCTCCTTACCGAGTTTTGTGACAATTTGGAAGATTCTAGACAGTGCACAACGATGAAGACCTGAGTGAGCAAGTCATCGAGTTAGGCCCGAAAGCTGCATTCCCTGAAGGCAGAATTCGAAAGATATGGAATGAGTGCAGGTACCTTTAACCCAAGACTATAGTACATGACCGAGCCAGAGGTGAGGTAGATCCCAAATACTTGGTCTGGTTTGGTAAGAGATTTCAAATTCCTGAGAGACCCGCCAAAAGGCCACATGTACAACAATTCACTAACGAGGCCCAGGTGCAATGGGATTGGTTAGCCAAAGAAAAGGAGTACAGGGCCCGAATAGGAGCATTGGAAAAATAGGTTCAGGAGCTCCGGTTTGAAAACACCTTGCAAGCCGCAGCTGATGAAGGTGATAAAAAGAAATTGGCCCAGGAGAATGAAGCTCTCAAGGCCCAAATTCAGCAAATGAAAATAGATGCCAGGAATCGAGAAAGAAGTCTATCCGACGAGAGATTGATAAAAGGGTTAAAGAAGCAAGTCCTGGACTGTCAGGAAGAATTGGAAAAATCCGAGGGGAATATGGCAAGACTTCGGGCACAATGGGCAAAGAAGACTGAGGAAAGAGCCCAGTTTGTACAACAAATGAAGTGGAACCATGAGGGAACCATTGCTAACATGAAAAGAAAAATGAATGCTCTTGAAGAAAAGGCAGTTCGGCGGGACAAAGAATTTCGGACCGAGAGGGAACAATGCTATACGGTTAACCGTTGAGATGGAAAAGAATTAAAATCGTTACAGGACCTTCAGCTTCCAGGATTTCAGGTGCTAGAGGCTCGTACCCAACAGATAAGTCGGCTTACTCCAAAGAAAAGGGCCAAATCAGGGAAAGAATCAGAAACATTGCAACTATTCTTGTTCAGAAGTGCCAGGCTGGTGAGCGGATGGTCGTTACCACGTTCTTTTTGCCTCGTGATGATATTTGTTCGCCAGTCAATGAATGATCTGGATCAAGTTGCAAAAGGCTCTCGCACGCAGGCCGCGGGCGATGCGAAGATGGCCTGTGGGCCCCAGGATTTGAAGCTTTGATGTATTCTTAAGATAATCGAGTCATGTATTTCTGCTTTTGAGTCTGGTTTTTGCTACTTTCTTTGCGAGAAAAAGAAAAAACAATGTCGAATAGCTTTGTAATCGCAGTTGTATTAATTTAAAATTTGAAAATTCCCGAAAATTGTTTCTTTTGTGTCTTGCATTTATTTTTGCATTTATTTGCAACTACCTCGCTTGATTCTGCAGGATCCACGCCGGAGCGCTCCGGTCGATAAGTAGGCAATCTCCATAGGATTCGAGTCGGTACTAAATGAAAAAAGAAAACAGAAAGGAATAAGGAAAGAGGAGAAAAAACAAGAAAGGAAAGAAAACAAAGAGGGAAAAGAAAACAAAAGAAATAGGACACCACAACAAGCACAAACAAGGAAAATAAAAGGGGAACAAAGAAAGAAAAGAGCGGAAAAAACAATTTATAGAGGAAAGGGCGATTGGGAAAAGGACAAAATCAAGGAAAAAAAGAGGAAAATAAGAGGAAAAGCAAAAGAAAAGAGGGAAAGGCAAGAAACCAAAACATGGAAAACACGAGGGAAGACTGAGAGGAAAAGCATGGCAAATAAAAGAAAAATGAAAAGGCCGGGATTGGACGGCGGATGCAATCTAAGCAAAGCATAATAGAAACTGTTAATCTGCCTAGGTGCAATTCACTCTCTAAATGTGCGGGACCAATGTGTTAAATGCCTAACGCTAACGTGATTGTTTCATTTTGTCATGTTCATTCGCAGAAAGGGGTTGTTGTGTTTGAAATGGTAACTCTTCTTTACACACAAGGCAAAAAGCATGGCAAAGCAAGAGAACCTGAGTTGGTTTGATATAATACCGGTGCTTCGAACAACAAGTGGTGAACGGGAATATGGTTTGGTTGAAGAGGTGCGGAATGTGAGACAACACAATGACAAACTATGTAATCGAGCTGGATGATCTGGAAATGCGCCACCCCCCGCCTCCACCAATTTCCCGAATGCTAACCTTACCCAAACTTCCCAACAAATACCAGATGATCCTCCATATTCTCAGTACAACCCGTTCATACACTGCACCCCAACTACCCTGCTAGCTCCATCGCTTTCAATCCTTCAAAGTCCATTTCTCCCAAAATTTGCCCTCCT